TTACCGTAAACGGATCTAGCTGTACGTTGTTGTTACATGTTTTGTTGCAGCTGAGGATTTCATGTAGAGAATGAGCCACAGCGTACACTCCCTTATAGACATTGTTAAAGATAGGCATGAGGGACATGTCAGTGAAGCTGTTTTCCATTCCTGTAAGGTCCTCATGTCCCGTACAGACGCTTAGAGGTTGTGTTGATTTGGATTCCCTGAACTTACATTTAAACAATGCCTCCCAGAACTCATTAAATAACTGACTATTGGATGAATTTAGCGGTTTAACATTAAACATAAACTCTCTGAGACCACTGACTTGTGCTTTAGGGATAGAAAGGCCTATTGCTCCGTCCAGGATGTGATTCTTATCCATCGCTGCAATTTGAGAATCAAAGATCCAGGACTCACTGCCAATCCACTGAAACCCAGTCAAATTGTTAAGCGACAGCTCATGTATAAGGACATCCATGTCCATGTGGGAAAGAAAAGCAATAATAACTTTAGAAGTGGAAGACTTAATAATTTCAGTTACCTTTTTAATTTTTTCTAATGGATCTGTTCTGAAGAAAGATACAGAATATTCCAGACAAATACCCAACTGTTCTGCGGTTTCAGTAAATGTAGCCATACCATTATTACCGTAATCATCGTTGGTTCTTACAGCCCCAACCCAAGTCCAACCAAAATGTTTGACCAAATGAGCCAGAGCTCTGCTCTGATAATAGTCGCTGGGTACCGTTCTGAGAAAGGAGGGATAGTTGGTTTTATCACTGAGACAAGCACATGTGGCAAAGTGGCTGATCTGCTAGAAAAAAGTCAAATAAGTGTCATGAAAATAAACAGGTATCAAAGATGAAAGTATACATTTAGAAACATTAATAAGTGCCATTTACAAATAATATTTTGCATAATATGTTAAATAGAAGTAGAATAATAAAAAAAAATGTTATAAATTTTTTCAATGCTACCCACCAGCGGGATATTGAATGGTCCAATAACAGTTGCTATTGCTGTGCTTGGAGAGGAGGAAGTTTCTCCCATTATTGCTTGCACTCGTGCTGCTTTCATACATATGGAGGTTGAAGAAATGTTGCTATTATCATTTGTCAAGGCAAGTGCAACTTTCACACTTCTGGCAATGGAGCCACAAGTGTCATAGATATTATAACCGAGTGAAATCCCCGGCAGTAGCTTTGAGCTGTTATTTATCTCCTCAATGGCAAAAAGCATAGACTGAGCAAATTGGAACTCTCTGAAATTCAAGCTTCATTCGGAGTTGAAAATGATGGGTGTAAAAACAAGAAGATAAAAGCAAATTGCAGTAAATTATTTGTTTGTTGGAAGTAATAACAAAATATATGAAGCTGTATTTTACCTGATGCATTCCAGTGGAAGTGGTTTTTCGGTATAAGTATTTGCTTTGTTCTTCCAGCTGCTGTGAAAAGAAAAGATTCCACCCAACATAATGTCTCCATCCTTTTAACAATTGAGGTTTCTCAAGATCCCCAATTTGTCTGCAGAATGGCTCTTCAGTCTGTGAGAAAGACACTGACAACAGTAACTGTAAAAGTGTGCAACCATACTCTGCCCACCTCTGTGCAGACACCATGCTGTCTGAACAATCAAAGTAACCAGACAGCATCTTAGAGAGTGCTGTCTAATGTAAGACCTCATGGGTCCTTATAAATGTTGGACCGCTATAATTAACAGACGATGATTTAGCTCTATGACACTGAGCAGACTGATGTGGTGACAGGCGATAAACCTAATTATTTTAAAGTTAGTTCAGTTTGTGGGACCTTATTCTTCTTTTTTCAGTGGTTTTAAATTTCTTTCAAAGCTAAGTTTAGAAAATAAAAACTTAAGCAGTTATCCCCCTACACTACCGTTCAATTGCAAAGTTCTTCTTGAAAATATAATATAATTTTAAGTGTGCCTGTATTAAAGATGAATGCATTAGGAAAAATATTAAAGTATAAGAAAAGATGTTTCAATTTGAAACAGTTACATTAAACTAATCTCAGAGGGAACCATGTGTTAACCTTCATATCACTGCAACATTCTTATCAAAATGTTGCAGTGTCTGGAGACAAATATTCAGCCCAAATTAGTGTTTTGTCTGGTTACCCCTATAAAGAAATGTATCTATCTCAAGACATGTATTTATTTCTCAAGACAAGAGAACTTAGCTACCTTTTCTAAGTTCTATACTTTCTTAAGAAAGCAATTTGAGCAGCGACATGGGCTGTTTTCTTAACTTTAAATGGCAAACATTGGTTTCATAATGCATGCTACTTGCAACATTTTTGTGGCACGAGCTATTTTATTTGAAACTTTTATGTTTCAAGCTCTTTGCTTGTTTTTTTTTTTCTTCACTTGAACCTTCAGAGGCACATAAAGGCAGTTACCAAGTCATCCTTTTATCACCTGAAGAACATGTCCAGGATTACAGGGCTAATGTCCAAGCAGGATCTAGAAAATCCATGCATTTGTCTTTATTAGAATTGAGTACTGCAACAGTGTCTTCCTAGGTTTGCCAAAAAAGTCCAGACAGCTGCAGTTGATCCAAAACTCTGCTGCTCGTGTTCTAACTAGAATCAAGAAGGTAGAGTCCTTACACTAGCTCCCTGTAGTTTAGAGAATAGACTTTAACATGCTACAGTTAGTCTATAAATCATTGAATGGATCACCACCTCAGTACATAACCTATTTGTTATCAGTGTATCAACCTTCCAGACCACTCAGGTCTTCTAGTTCAAGCCTACTCTGTACACCCAGAACTAGAACCAAACATGGAGAAGCATCTTTTAGTTCCATTGTTCCGCTGATCTGGAACAAACTCCCAGAAGGCTGTAAAAGTGTTGATAGTCTGAGTTCTTTTATATCAAAGCAAAAACCCATTTGTTTAGAGCTGCCTTTGACTGTTGAAGTTAAACTGCTAACTGGGGCTTTATTGCTTTTTTTTTTTTTTTTTTTTGAGTTTTTATGGCACTAGTGGCCCGTTTTTTTGACAATACGCCGACAGAAAAGCGGGTATGAGAGGGGGAAAGACATGTGGCAAACGACCACAGACGACACAATCAGGGTTGGCCGTGTCTGTCATTTTATCTAAAGCTCGGACCCATATGCAGAGAAACCAATTCAGAGAGACCAGGGGAAAGGTTTAAAAGGTTTTATTGAAGATATTAAGCACGGTGCAGTGTTGCTCTGAACTCTGCTCAGCCGGAACTGGAAGATGAGGGGAAGACAAACGATTAGTTCAGGCTCAGTGGGAAATTTCATTTGTGGATTTCAAGAAGAGGATCTGGTTGTTGACTCACGTTTCCAGAGAAGTTGAAGAATCTTTGACTCCAATCTGTGTGTTGTTTTCCAAAGTTAGTCTGATTCGGTGGAGGGCGGAACAGGGTTTCCCCAGAACTTGGACGGTGTAGGTGAATGGAGACACTGACTGCCACTCAGGTTTCCTGCTGTACTTGAACGGGTCGTAGTGAAGATGATTCCCTTGCTCAGAGAGTAAACTCAACGTCCTCTCAAGGAGACTGGATCCAAACCTCCAGTTTGAATCCCCAGCTCAGTTTGAGGCTCAGTTGATCTCTCCTGGGAGTGGAGGTCCGAAAAGGTCCAGTTTGCAGGATGACTTCCTGCCGAGAGGCAAAGACAAGAAACAAAGTTGAAACTCAGGTGGATAAGAACTGAGTCTTACTCAGCGAAAACTCAGCTTGGCTAGAGTACCAAATACTGGCAAACACTCTGGCGTCAAGGTAGTGGCAATCAGCAGCTTAAGAGCACTCCGTTAACGAGGGAACCATCAGCAGGTATGTGAGGAGGCGGACCAGAACCAGCGCCTCCTGCTGGTGGAAGGGAAACAAACACCAAAACAAACAAACAGACTGGAGCCCTGACAGTGTCAAGGACCAAGGCCTCCATAAATGGGTCATTCCACCTGCTCGCCCATGGGTTTTATTAGTTTAAGGTTGTAATCCCACTCTTTTATGTTCTTCTCTATCTGCTTTTATCATGTTTTTTTTACTTGGTTTTATTCTGCTTTTTTATGGTACAATGGTTTTATTTGTTTTACAAATGTTTTTGTTATTTTTCTTCTATTTTATTATCTAATTTATGTAAAGCATACTGAATTGTCCATGTACTGAATTGTGCTGTACAAATAAAATTGCATTGCCTTCACAGCTTGCTAGTTTTGATCATGAACGCATTTTATATAGTAATATGAAAATAATGTTGACCATGTATTGTTGTTAGTATTTATCAGTCAATTCAAAACATTTTAGCAAGTTAGAATACTTTAGTTACCAAGATATCCAGTAAAAAAACAAACTAGATTCAGAAAATACAGGAAAACCGCAACTGCAACAACTTCAGAGTTTGAAATAATAGACCAGATTTTGATCAAATAAAAATGTCAAAATGCTTCTACTGAGATGTGTTGAAAGAAAAATCACTAAACCACCATTACTTTAGTTGTATTCTTCAAGTAGTATCACTTTAGAACAAGAAATTCAAGAAAATGAAGGTCATCTAATAAAAAAATTTATTACTGTTGTTAAATTGTAATGTTATGTTCTATAAATCACATAATTATTATAATGGAACTGACTGGCAGCACCAAAAAATGTTATGCTTAATCATTTATTTGTTCAGCCCCTTAAAGATTTTAAAACAATTGCAAGACCAAGTTGAAGACATTATGTGCAAAACAGTGAAGGTGTTGGACACAAAAAACAAGGGAAAAAACTTTACCTCGTTTTGCAGGATCAAATCAAATTTTATATCCAACTACATTTTTAAAATATATTAATTAAAAGGCTTTACTCTTCAGCAAATGCTGGTTTGTGATTTAAAAATAATGAGTCAACATGATATCAATTGTTCCTTAAGCATTCTCAGATAAATTCAGGCAAAAAAAGAAATTCATGACTATTACCACTAAAAAGGGAAAAAAACAACAACAAAAAAAAAAAACATCTTTTTGAACCCTGTCTTAAAAATTATTTTGACTGTCCCTTTCCCATTATATGTTTTTTTGTATTTTTTTCTGGTTTTAGTAACATAACATAGCATTTTGGAATGAAGATACAAGTTAAGAGTCCAAACGTAGAGGCGAGAATGGCAAAGATTTCTACAGCAACACTAAATTTTCCGGGAGAGCTGACATATGCCGGGATAAAAGTAATCCAAACAGCACAGAATATAAGCATGCTAAACGTAATAAATTTAGCTTCGTTAAAATTATCAGGCAGTTTACGAGCCAGAAAAGCACAAAAGAAACACAGCATTGCGAGAAGTCCAATGTAACCAAGCACAGACCAAAAACCCACTGAGGACCCCAAAGCACACTCCAAAATGATTTTGTCTTTATACTCTTTAAAGTTCTTGGTTGGAAAAGGAGGAGAGATTGTTAACCAGAGGATACATATGATCACTTGCACAAAAGTAAAACCCAGAACACTGAGTCTCTGCTGTGCAGGCCCAAACCATTTCATCACATTTCTGCCTGGGAGCGTGGCTTTAAATGCCATCAAAACCACTATAGTTTTCCCCAGGACACAGGAAATACAGAGGACAAAGGTGATTCCAAATGCTGTGTGACGCAGCATGCAGGACCATTCAGAGGGCCGTCCAATGAAGGTCAGGGAGCAGAGAAAACACAGAGTCAAGGAGAAAAGGAGGAGAAAGCTCAACTCAGAGTTGTTTGCCCTTACGAGAGGAGTTTTCCTGTATCTATAGAAAATAAATGCCACCAAAGAAGTAGTGGTTGTTCCAAATAAAGAGGCAACAGTGAGTAATATTCCCATGATTTCATCATAAGATAGAAATTCAGCCTTCTTCTTTATACAAGCATCCCTTCTGTCATTTGACCAGGATTCAGGGGGACATCTCACACAGGTCACAGAATCTGCAAATAGATGACAAAGAATGTGTTAAAAAACAATTTATATTCATCTTTTTCGCCTAACTTTGATCTAATAAGACAAATACATGGCAATTTAATGCTTATTATTCTGCTGTAATGTAAATGAAACAAGATAGGTCTTTAACACTGCTGAAAAGTGAAAAGTATGAAAAGTAGTGTATAATTATGTCATGTATCACTTTCTGTTGGTTTGCCGCCCGAAACTGAATAAATGCATTGATCTGACTTTTCTGTCTGTAAGATCCTGCGTCAAAAACAGGCCTTTTACTTTCATTTATTTGGGTGCGTTCTTCACACATACTGTAACTTTCTTCTAATTTAATAGTTCTTTTCATAGTTGTTTAAGTAAAAAGCTGCAAGGAATGTAAAACCACTATTTATTTGTTAAAGAACAAGCTCTGCTAGCAGAAGAGGATATATATAATAGTTATTAACAGAGTCTTCTCCAACTGGGTAACTTGTCAAATAAAATGGTACATAAGAGAATGACGGACACAGACCAGGCCATACAGCTCCCTAACAAAAGGCAGCATTTAGAATATTTTGTTCTGAACAGCTACCTTGCTTACCTAAATACTATTTAACCTGTGCTGTATTAGGTTTGATGTTAATAAAAAAAAGTTTTTTCATATATTCACATCTTATTATAATAGAATTACAAATCTTGGACTTAAAATCATACTTAAACACTGAACCTGTGCTGTTGCTAATTTCTCCTTCGGCACACCTAATACAGTCATAACAGCACACAGGCTTTCCTTTCAGGAGAACCTTTCGTGTTCCTGGGGGACATTTCTTACTGCAAACTGACAGTGGGACCTGAAAAGACAGAACTCACATTAAAAAACATTAGAATTTAAAATTATACAGCTGTAAAAAGAGTGGACCTAAAATACAGAGAATGCTGGCATTGGCAGCTGTATAGCTTTTTACCTCCAAAGAGTTTTGCATCCAAATGATGGTTTTGTTGTACAGATTCATTTGTCTGTCAGTTGGTAATGTTGCGTCATACAGACCAACCGTCACAAAGTCAACAGTACCATTTTCGCCTGGCTGCCAGTTTATGATTTCATACATTGCAGCAGGATCTCCATTCTCATTAAAGTAAACATGATCACCTTCCTTTGTTTTGAAATTACTTCCCTTTATGTGCTGTAAAATCTAAAAATCAATTCGTAATAAGATCAGCAAGTTGAAAACTTTTAGCAAATAAGATTTTGTTTTTTTTTCTTTGTTTAATCTCACCGTATAAGGGTCGAGTTGCATATTTTTATTACATGATTTGTTACAGCTCATAATTTTGTGTAGGGCATTGGCCACTGCATACACTCCTTTGTAGACATTGTTGAATATGGGCATGAGCGACATGTCAGTGAAACTGTTTTCCACTTTATTTATGTCTTCCTTTCCAGTACATGTTCTATAATTCTCTGTGGATTTTAACGGTTTGAAATTACAGCTAAATAATGTTTCCCAGAACTCAGTAAATAAGTCTGCATTTGATGAGTTCAGTGGCCTCACATCCAGCATGAACTCTTTCAGACCAGTCACATTTGCCTTGGGGATGGAAAGGCCTATGGCTCCATCTAAAATGTGATTAACATCTCCTTCCGCAGTTTTAGAATCAAATATCCAAGCTTCAGTTCCCACCCACTGGTAGCCAGTCAAGTTGTGACCAGACAACTCATGTAATAATATATCCAAGTCCATGTGGGAGAGGAAGGTAACAATTACTTTTGAAGTTGAAGCTTTAATAGTATTAATTATCTTTTGTATTTTGTCTGATGGGTCAGTTCTAAAGAAAGATACAGAATATTCCACACATATGCCCAACTTCTGTGCAGTTTCTATGAAGGTGGCCATGCCATTATTGCCATAATCTTCATTTGACCTTACAGCTCCAACCCATGTCCAACCAAAATGCTTTACCAGCTGTGCAAGGGCTCTACTCTGGTAATAGTCACTGGGTATGGTTCTAAGAAATGAGGGGTATTTGATTTTATTACTGAGACAAGCACATGTGGCAAAGTGGCTGATCTGCAAAAAACAATTAGAATTATGTTTTTTATTTAAAAAGAAAACACCAGCCATGTTTAATCTAAGCAACAAAACGTTAAACGATTGTAAATGTTATCATTTTTGATAACATTTTTAGTATTTATACCTACCAGTGGGATGTGAAATGGACCCATAACAGTGGCTATTGCAGTACAAGGAGAAGAAGATGTTTCTCCGATTATGGCCTGCACATTTGAAGGACTTGTACATGCCTTTGAAGGCGAAGCCACCATTTTATTACCATTTACCAAGGCCAGTGTGACTTTCACACTTCTTGCAATGGATCCACATGTATCGTATATTTTATATCCCAGAGATACGCCTGGTAGTAGGTCTGAACTGTTATTGATCTCCTCAATGGCAAAAAGCATAGCCTGGACTAACTGGAACTCTCTGAAATTCAAACTTGATTCAAACATTTATAGAAAGATGTCATAACAAACATTGTCATTAATCAGATCAAACTCCTATAATATGTACAATATGTATGCAGTATGTAAAACCCATATATTAATATCTTTTCTGCACGCCAACTGCAAGTTTTTATCGTTTTTTCCCCTCCTGATTACTTACCTAATGCATTGCAGTGGCTTGGGCTTTTCCATGTAGGTTTTCTTTCTTTCTACCCAGTTGGTGTGGAAAGAAAAAAGTCCTCCTAACACAATGTCCCCATCTTTAACAAGCTGAGGGTTTGCAGGGTCTCCTATTTGTGTGCATATCTGGTCCTCTGCCTGAGTATAAGATGCCACCAAGAACAGGTGCAAAAGTGCCCAACCCTGTTCTGGCCACCTCTGTGTAGACGTCATGGTGAGTGAAAAACACAAATCAACTGGTAGCATTATATATACCTACTTTTGGATAACAAGTTTATATTGATATTTATACTATTGGAAGCAATAAAATGTATTATAATAATAATAAGGAATATTCTCTGTGGACCTACAAAGTGTGGATAGATGAGGAGGACAGTAAAAACATGCTGATTAAATAGGTATGTTTTATTCTTGCCATGTAGCATGATTTAATTTCTTTCCGATATTTATTCTTTGATGCATACTAAAAAAGTACAAGCTCTCAAGCAGCCAAATCCATACCACACATTTTTAACAGTACTAAAACACTTTTATTCTTTAATTAATTCTCCCTACAGAAAGGACTAAATGGGCTCCACTATCTTATATTTAAATGTCATAACTCGTAATACTGCATACTTTTTTTTTTTCATTAGATATGAAGACATTTTGTATAAACTACTCATCATTTTCCTCAGATTTTGAGACTGGTTTCCAGTGTTATTAGATTTATCTACATTAAGAATGGCCTCTTTAGGTAATTGTTACACGTGTTTAAAAAAGTATAAACACAGTAATAATACAGAAAAGCTACCAGAGTGACATTTTATACATTATGCACTGACATTTGTCAATCCACACAATAGCATTGAAGACAGAAATTGCTACTCCAAAGTCTGTAGCCCAAAGAATCCATACAGAGATATGTCAAATGAGGAGGTCAATAGAAACATTAAACAAATACAAAAAAAAAACAAAAAAGTATGCCATAACCAGGGTTTATAAAGGCCTCTGTTTTAAGCTAAATTGACCTGAAATTAACCACTAATTAGTTACTAATTATGTACGAAGTAATTTTCTGAGCATTGTTATGCCATCGGCACAGGTATTTCACGTTTGTGCTTTTGGGTGTCAAAGTAAACCTCTAGACACAGTTTTAATTCATTGGAATGTCTCTTTCACCATAGTATAAAATTAAAGGGCGTCTATAACCAATAGCTGGTCAAACATTATATTGTGCTGCGTGGTGAAAGGATTACATTTATATGAACCGTTCATGTGTCTATTATATTAGACACATCAACACATCAGAAGGCGCATGATCATATTTTTGGCACAAATGAAATCCTGTATTTTCACCCTCATGGGTTTTAAAACTGATGTGGTGTTTGAGAACTTCCGGTGCCTATAGCATTATCATTGAAAGGCTAGGATAATGGCTCAGTTGTTTTTGTTCAGCCCCTGGTTGTTCATGTGGGGCAAAAAAACAGTCATATCTGTCCTATCATGCATTTCTGATGGACCCGGACCAACAAAGGCAGCGGATCCATGCGATCCGAAAAGATGAAGGTTCCGACTTTTACATAAAGACAGGGAGCACTTTCCTATGTAGCCGCCACTTCACACCAGAGAATTTTATTAGCGGATTCACCATCACCTGCCTTAGAAATGGAGCTGCTTCCTTTCCTTTTTGCCAGGAATGACTTGACTGCACCAGCAACAAGAGAGTCTGCTTTCGAGACTCACTTGGGCCACTACCTCTTCATTGTGTTCTCTTCCATCATCCTGTGGATAAGTCATGAGAAAAGCCAAAATGCCTTTAGAAATTTCTGAAGTTGCTCCCTGTGGGTTGGTGACATTAAAGGCTTCCTCATTCAAGACCTTCACGAAGATGGAGCCAGACTCATCATTCCACTATTTAGGCATCCTGGCCAGTTTAGCAAGAAAGAGACAGAGGAGACCCAGACTTTTCCTTGACTGTGCATCTAGGATTCTCTGGTGCCTCTCACTTTAATAGGTACTGTCAATCAAATCTGCCACAACAGTTGTGTTTTGGCAAATCATCAAGACACAGTTTATGTTGCAGACTAAATAATTTCAGTATGTTAATTTGGTAGTGCTATGTAAAAATGTGTTTAAATGTGTTTTAAATTTTTTTCCGAAGTGAATTGCAAGGAAAACAAATGAAGATTTACAATATCCACTAAAAATAAAACACCTTAACTATTTCATATTTTATAATTGTACTCTATACACTGATTTAAATTATGTTGCAAATTAATATATATCAAATCTAAACAACAATAGTTGCAAATACTTAATACAGCCTTAAGAAGAAGCTATTTTTACACAGGTTATAAGACAACTGCAGTTAAGGCAACATATTTTCGTAAATTATGCAACTGCCTTTTAAAGAAATTTGCACATCTGTGTGTTTCATGAGCAACAACTATTTACAGTGATTCACACAGCTGGAGATGAAAAGGAACAAAAGGATTGATATACACATTTTATAATTTTTATTGTATTGACATGAACACATCGATAGAGGTCTTGAAGTAAAATAAGTGAGTAAAACGAGTGAGCCGATGTAACAAATACATTTCTCCACTGTGAGAAAAAATGAAGTCAATCAATCAATCAATTAATTCACATGTTCACCTAAATTTTCACGTTATTTATGGATTGCATCTGAAAATATCAAACATATTTTCATATATTCAGGGATATTAAATAATACAATATAACATAGAATGGCTTAAATTATAGTATTTCTAGGTCATCAAGTCAGTGTCAGGCTGTCAATTGGGCTGTATATAGGGATTAAAGTCCAGCAGGTGTCAGTATTATGACAGTATATGTAATTTAGTATATTTAGTATGTGGTAGGATATTACATAGCATAGGACAATGTGTTTTACTCTTTTTTGTTAGGATAAGTTCTGAGTAGTCCAGAAGTCGTACGTGGAAAGTACGACTTCCCTGTTCAATTCCCTGTTGAGTCCCTGTTCAAATATGAACAGGGACTCAAACTAACGAACAGGAACCAACCGACTTTCTGTCTCAAACTACAGCTTGTGCTGTTCCTCAGTTTTCTTAATGGATTTGGAGCATCTAGCTCTGACAAATACCTGTCCCTTGACAATATTTGACACTACAAGGCATGTAGAAGGAAAGCATACTGTAGTTTCAACATCAAGCGTCATATAGTATCTCATAACTAAGTTCAAGCATGCTGTTTTTCACAAACTGTACTGGCAAACATATTCCAGTCTCACAATATAATTGAAAAGTTTAAACTATGTCTGTCTCCAATATTCAACGTAATTTAGCAAAATAAGTTTGGATTCATAATGATGTTAGTGTAGTTCATATCTTGTAACTAGCGGTTAGCTCTCTAAGCTATGTCTTTACTTACCTTGACAGCTGTGGATATATACTTCGGGGAAGAACGTACCGTAATTTTCAAACTATTAGCTGCACCTGAATATAAGCCGCAGAAGCTAAATTGCATGATTTGTAAATATACAAGCCGCACCAGAGCATAAGCCACAGGTTTTTTATGTTTAATTACCATATGGTTCGTGCACAGAGAGGATTGTCGGGAAAGAGGCAACTGTTTGGGGAAGCTCCAACTTACTAACATTTCAACACAATTTGCATATTTGACAATTCTTCCTGCTGGCGTCTCCAAGGTCTCACTATTGACTTGTTGATTCCAAGGTTATGTGCCACGGTTCTATTTCCTTCGTTTACTGCCAAATTGACTGCCTTTAACTTAAAAGCTGCATCATACGCATTTCTACCGGTACGTTTGTTTTCCATAATGAGGGTGTCACACAAACTGTCTTGCGCTCGTAATGTCCGTCTTTCTCGCTGTCGTTCTGTTTTGTACCACTCGCGGTAGAAGTCTGTTTCCAGGGCACCTCCGCATTCCAGCGCGCGCGGCTACCGTACTTGTGTGTTGAAGCAAATGTGACGTCAATATGGTGGATGGTAAAATCCATAGATTTAGGTATTACCCTAGTGGCCGTTAGCTGTAAAAGTCCATAGATAAGCTGCATTGTTATATAAGCCGCAAGGTCGAAAAATGAGGAAAAAGTCACGGCTTATGGTCCGAAAATTACGGTATATCCTTTCATACATTTTTTGGTGGCCGAGATCGCAAGCTGCAGTAAGAATGACGAAAAGGACCGGAGGAGAGACATTTTCCAGAGTAAAACAGGAAGTGCCCCAGCCCTTTCTGATGCAGCTTTCGGTTGTCGTGAAAAAGGTCTAGAAAATGGCAGCTTGAAATTTCTGTTAGACGAAGGAGGTGGGTGGAGCTTTCCAGAGTACGTCTCCCACTGCTTATTTTAACAACGTATATTTTCACCAATACTGGGTGGTACCTTACTCCAGTTGTTGTTGTAATAACTTTGAAAGAGTCAATGTACTTTGACACTGCACATTTATCATCTGTGGAATTTGCTGTGTAGAGATTTCTAAATGACGATATGTAAAATATTATTATAAATGAATAGAAACAATCAAAATATATTTAATGTATGAAGTTTAGGTGAACCCTCACCCCTCCAGTTCATAGGTCAGCCATAAAAAGGTTTGTGACCCCTAATGTAAAGCCTTAAACTTAAAGGTACTTTTTATTTTAAATGAAATCAGCGTTCAAGTGTTCTGTCTGTTAAATGGAATTTGTTTATTTAGCCACATCTGTGTATTGTATATCTTTGTATTATATCTTTGCTAATATAATAATGAATAATTCAAAGCTAAATGAAACCTTAAGAAACAAATATTTAAAATTTCCTTCACAAAATCAAAAAACATTTTAGCATTTATAAAGCTCTTTCCTTACATTATTAAGAAAATGCATGTTCTAAATAAAAAACAGAATACATAAAACATATCAATCTAATTCTACATTTAATGAAAACTAATTCATTATTAACAAAAATTACTCGCTTAAAGAATTTACATCAGTCTTTAATGGTGCGTTCACCCCTAAGGTGATTACGGCAAATTGTCAA